TGAGTTTTTAGCCCCCCCCCCTTTAGCCCCCATTCGCTTGTGACTACTGTCAGTGTTGTTGCGATTAGCCACGGCTCGTGTATCGCTCGTTGTGTGTCGTTTTTAACCCGAAACCTATGTGGCAAGAGCCTTAGGTTTGGCGTCGGTATCCCGTGCTTTGGTCGACAGACATGTTCGCACGTAGACAAGGAATGGAGTACGAAGTGTACAAGGTTTGCAGATACCAAGGTTTGCAGATAAAATCGAAAGAAGTCTTCGGCATCTAGATAAACAACGTTTTCCTGGCACTTTAGTTTTTTCACTGCGTGCGGTGTAGTCTAGTCCTTTCGTGCGACGACGTCATACACACCACGTGCCGGTGGTGCTCACCAGTAGTTCAGAGACCGCAAACGGCATCGGAATCCAACCGTGTGCCAATGACAGACATTCCGGAGACCTTCATGCGATCAAGTCGTGAATACTTGCAAGATCATTTGTTCCATGTTTATTCCATTTCTTCATCTCGAAACCAAGGCGCTGATCTCTGCGAAAATGCAATACACATCTCCCGGCGAGTGCGCCTGCAACATGCGACGAAACATACGGAATTTTCAGATCACACCATTGCACCATCGGTTGTTCCACCGAGTTGTGCCTTGCAGCACTCTTTCTCCAAATAACCCCAGCGAATTGAATGACAAACCCAGCGAACTCAAAGTCATGCGGGGGCACGACGCCCTGCAAACTAGCCAAGCGCAAACCTTGAGGTTCTGCTCGAAACTCTTGTAAGTACGAAACCCTCTCCACCCCCCCACCCCACCCCTCAGGCTCCATGATCAGCCTAAAACACGCGCTCGAGAATCACGACAATGCCTCCGCAATGGCCGCTGGTATGGCTTCGTCTCCCGGCCACACCGCGCGGCACGCCTGCGTGAAGCAGTCCCTCCTCGTGATTTGAACGCCACGACCCCTCGCGTTGAGGCGGGTGCTCACGTCGAACGAAGCCTGCACGTTGCGGGGGAAAAAACGACGACGTAGGCTTGTTTTTTTAGAGCGTGCACTCCAGTCTTTCGTGGGAAAATGGAGAGCCAACAAACGTTACGTGGCATGCAGTATCTGTGAGAGACAGACGTTCACGCAATGGGGCGGCGCGTGCGTCTTTTTCTCCGTTCGGACTACTAACCGCCCGTTCGGATTACAAAACCTAACTTCGGACAAGACAGAAAATTATGCTCGGCCTCCCCAGTACATCGTTACCCCTACTGCTGTCTAATGCGGGGAGTACAAAGCTGCGGGCTGCCAGCCTATTCGTACGAAATGGGAGAGTCTCCACCTAACTGATACGGAAGATAACACCATATCTGTCTCAAAAGGGGAGTCGACGCGCTGGGCGCCGCTTGTCTTTCCAGAGCATTTGCTGAGCATTGCGGAGGTTCATAGGGATAGGGTTGCTGTAAACGCGTCTTTCAGGTCTCTCATCCCTCTTTCCTGTCTACTTCGTGTGGTGATATGATCTGTCTGGCAGCTGCATTGATCCGCAGGCTCGAAAAACACACGCACGTTAGTCCAGGTTGAAGTTTGTGGGCCTAGTGTACTGTTGTAGCACTCTTACAAGCCACCATGTCAAACAAAGCTGAACGTGAAGCACACCTATAATACACGAGGTGCAACGCGCACAGCAGGTGCACAACCGATCTGGGTCAGCAGCCCATCATTTGTGGGGTTGCCAAATATCAATTGTACTATACTTACTTGATTCCTCAGACGCTTCGCTGTGACCTGCCCCCCCGAGCTCCTCTCGGCTGCCTTTGAGAAATCTACATCCCCGATCCAGCGGGAGTGGTGGTACCCGCAGAGTCCGGGGTGCTGCTGAGCTGCGGTCCTCCTTGCTGCCAGGTCCCTTATGTCTGGGAGGGGCTGGGGCTCGTTGTCCCCGTGGCAGCAGAACCGCTTCCCAACCGCCCTGGCTGCAGCAGATGTCGCCTCGGGCAGGAGCTGGGGTGTTGTGTCCGCGATGAGAACCAGCTCGTCCCACACAACTAGGGGAGCATTCACTGGGTCCCACTCAGCCGCTTTGGCCTCCCAGAACTGAGCGATGTCCTCTGGGTCCATGGTGGTGATGTTGGTACTGCTGTACTGCTGTTGTTGCTGCTGTTGTGCTGGCAGGCTGTGGCGGAGTGACAAAGTGTCAAAAAGAGACACCCGCCCCCGTGCCTTCGCGTTTTTGAGAGGGTTTTCGTGACTACAGGCACGATAGGAGGCATGATAAAACCTGTCTTTATCTGGTACGATAAAGCATGCTCTCGCTGTTGACTTGTGTGCCTTCTTCCTTGCCTTCGGAATGTGGTTGCAGAACTGAAGGCCAAGCTTACGAGGCCTCTCCCCGAGTTCTCCTGCGCGCGTGTGTGTTCGAGTGTATTCCTTGTCCGTCTTCAACCAACCGCCACCACAAGGCATAGTTTATCTCTCGCGCGGCTCGTGCTTGCTGCTGCTGCTGCGGCGGGCTGCTGCTGCTGGTGCTTGGTGCTTTTTCATTTCGTTTCGCATGCATGCATCCAACAAACAAACCGCGTGCGTGTGTGCTTCTTGTCTCCGCTGGATATATCACCCAACCAAGTGGCATTGGAGGCGGTGCCATGCCTTGCGCCAGTGTGCTGCATCGGCGGCGGGGTAGAACTGCTGTGCATGCGATGTATCTCTACTGCTGCTGCTGTATCCATGTAGACTATCACCATGTAATCGTGTTTGGGGTAAAGAAATACGGCGCCCTCTCCTCTCTCTCTCCTCCGGTTTCCGACAGCACCTACATACAGCAGTACAGCAGTCAGTGTAGTTATCGGTCACTCATCACATTCTTCACGTGAGGGTTACGCTGCTGTTGGGCACTAAACCTTTGTGGCACCATGGGGTGCGTGCGGTTGACCCATGTGGGAACCTGTTGGTGCGCAAACAAACGTGCAAAAGTTCAAGTGCGGGTGTCGTGTGTGTGTGTCTCATGACTC